CGAATCGGCTTACGTTACGGTTAGAGATTTCGGCTCTTCCACGCTATCCCGAGTGAACATAAAACTTAGTCTTAACCAAAAGGCCAGGGAGTGAGGGGGTAGCCGCCCACTAGAGCATACCTTTAGCTACCCTCTTAGACCATCGTACTATGAAGACACTTATAGATATCTAATATCTAATGGGGGTAGTCTATTCGGTGAAGTTCTATGCTAATATATGACGTCACCAAAATCCTTAGGGGTCAACGAGCCAATCATAGCTCCGCTAGGAATTTGCAATACAGGCTTTGCATAATTCTTCAGTGGATTATTATTTGATGGGGGTGGGGATGGGTGCTGAGTGCTGGTTTGCGGCCGAATGCCGATGTTCGATGGCTTTCCCCAAGCTGTTCAGTTGTCATTATTGTTTTCCAAATCATCACAGGAAAATTAGGTGTACAGCTCTTATATCAGACAGACATTATTAGTATTCTGGTAAACACCAAGGCACAAATGTTTTGAAATTCTTAACGTAAGTGGTTCACAAACCAGACAGATATTTGCTGGAATGTAACGGAACACATGCAATTTAGACCTCTACAGCCTTTCCACATTTTCGTTCTTGATGATATGAACGTTTACACATTATTGAATATAAATATAGTGAATGGCGGGTGAATGATAATCCGTATAATATTGATAAAGAAATCAAGGAAAACTTAGAAAGCTTTTGGTTTTATTGCAAAGCTATAATCAGGCGATGAAAAAAATACAGTTTAGAAGTTTAGATAATAAAAACATAATGAAACGCTCTAGAATTTATCATGAGTACATAAGATACAGAAAGATGTCTTTTTGATTATACAGCTAAATTAAATACTCTGAGTACCGCTCAATGTCGTTGATCCGAATCTTTCAGTTGGATAAGTTTACTGTTGAGGCAGGGAAATAGTGCGTCCCGCGTCAGGCCCAAAGACATGATCAACAATCACAATAGGTTCCTTGGCCCCTGGGAATCGCCGCCTTTTGTGTATTCATAGCAACGTAATGATACTTCCAGTTCCTTGCAGCGTATGCAGATAATTCAGAAAACGTTGTATACTGAAGATAGTGTATTCGAAGTTTACTAAATCTCTTGATGCCCTGAGTCACATGCAGTCCTCGACTACCTATTTTTGTGCCTACTAATGCGAAGTAGTGGACACTAGCTTTGTCATCGTGTCTATGCAAATGAGTAAGTAACAATAGAATGACGTCAAAATTCAATCAATACCCCTTCGATATTAGAATCTGCTTTTTCTTCAAATGGGAATCTTGTTCTGTAGCTGTATTATGATTTTTAAATAAAGAACTGAAATAGATTCTTGTTTATAGGGGGTATAAAATCCAAATTTTAGGATAACAAGTTTAGGTTCTTATATGCGGTATTCGACTGCAGTACTCGTATGTAATAAAGTATCGACATATGTATAGATATGACGTGAATTTTATTGAATTCATGTAAAATACGCCGTGCGAAGTAGGGCTCACTAAATAATGACGAAATACTAACAACCCACATTTCATTGTCTACATACAGCGTAGTGAATCGATTTTTCTCCCCTCCCAAAGCAATCTCTACACGTGCTGGGACCTGATTCAGACACTTTTCACAGACATCTTGCTAAGCTTAGCCATCTACAATAGCTTTGAAACAATTACAATTATGACTCTCTTAAAACTAGAACTTGGCATGTGGTCTCAGTCTGTGGCATTTTTCTTATAGACTTTTGCATCGTAGTCTTTCAAGTGAAGGTCTCCCGGATGCTTGTACACTACACGTGAACTGGATTGACTTTCAAAATTTTGCATCTTGTCCTGAGGAACCTTAATCTCTACAACGTGTGACACATTATTTGCATCTGTCTCTTTCGGAGCCGAGTCATAGTTATTCACAAGAAGTTCATTGTCGGGTGTCGATGGTGGAAGATCGTTTAAGTAGACGCCTAAAACAACAAAAAACGCTTAATGTACCGGGACTATTGACTGTACTTTCATTTCATGATGTCGAGTTTTTATTTATAATTTTATGTTATGCAAGAAAACTAGTACTTATTTAAAACAATTTTATAAGATCTTTTACCTGAACCAAAAGCTGCGTCTCCACGTTCACTGCGAGATTCCTTGATAACACCACTATTTTGAATCCCTTCTGCACCTTCTTCATCAGTGTAATGATACAACGTCTTTCCCTAAAAACAAGAATGTCATGAATCCACCTCACTTTCACTTCCAGACTCAAAATCTTTGCGAAAAACACTGAAACAAAACAAAATAATAAGACGAAATTGACGAAACAAAACGAAACAAATTAGTGTATGTAACACGCAGATTTGTTTTCGGGGGCTAATTATACTTTTTTCTTTCTTTTTGTAAAAGTGTCAAACCCTCCATTCCCACTGCAAAATCTTGTCTTTTCTAATGGTCTTCCCCTTTGACGTGTTTCAGTAACAATCTTTAGAGTCTAAAGTTCAAGTTTAACATGCTGGTTGAAGGGAGTCATACCTAGTAAGTCTGAAAGTGAAAGTGAAAGTGAAAAAAGACGCAGATCAATATATTAAGACGCTTCTCGACAGTCGAATAGTAAATAAATCAATACCAATAGAGATAAATCTTTGATCTCATTTAGATCGTCATATTCAGTTGAGGTATTTTACAAATTACTTTAAATTACTAAATATATAGAAGTATCTAAACCACTAAAAAGTTTGGAAACCAGTTTTGCCGAGCTGAAGACAACCATTATATAAAAGAAAGTGTTCTATATTGCTCTACATTCTTATCATTATTATTATAAAGAAATAAGAAATCAATGCCAGTGAACTGGTTTTCGCCGATAGTCTATACCGTTATAGCGGTTATGGGCTAACTGTTAGACTAAATTCTATTATTGGATCCATGAGAGCTAAAAACTAACGCAAGTTGATAAGGCGCCTAAAGCAATTACTTTACCACAAGCAACAATTACCTCATGAGAACTCATAATCAATAATTCTTTGAAGACGGGGAACAAGGACGAACAGGCGAACAAGTACAAGTCGTGTGAAACCAAAGTATATACACAAAGTTCCGGGTTTGAAACACAGGCAACCCACCGATTTATTCTGGCAGTTTCTTTGAAACTCTTTTTACATCATTAGTACGCGAACTCACGAGAACAATTACAATTTGTTCAAGACTCCGCATGGTGCTCTGGACTGAAGCTGAAAAGTATATCAGTAAAAATTCAGTAAAAATCATGGAAATCAGTGGAAAGAGTTTTTTTTATAAAACACTTCAGCACCGCAACAATAATAAAGTAATACAACAATATATCAAGTGAATATACCCACAAAACCTTTGGTCGAATAGTGTTAATGAAATAACTCTGGTTAAGTTTCCATCAGTTTTTCAATAAGATTATTCGGCAATTCCATTGGGCTAAACCTTCAAATATCTAAAGAGAACAAAGCTACGACAGTAGTATACACTATGTCATCAAGTCTATGCAAATGGTAAGTAACAATAGAATGACGTCAAAATGCAATCAATACCCCTTCGGAAGACCAATAAACATGCACAGGAAGCCCTCGGAAGCGATCGACAGAACATATAACTTTAGTACGAGCGACCGCCGAAATTTCTCGCAACCAATGTGAATCAACCATCATTGCGGATTTACGAAAATTTCTCGTGGATCGTGAAAATTCACTGCTGTGAAAGTTAACGACGTGCGTTTGCGTTGGCGAGTATATTCAAAGTTCTATTAGTATTCTAAAAGTTTTAGGTCTTTCTTTCAGAAGAAATTGCTCTGAGCTCACTGGTTTCCATGAACAACAAAACACAAACAAAACTCTAAGAAACAATGGCTAGTTCCTAGTTAGAACTTCAATTTTTCATAATAGTGACTAATATTAAACTATTATTTAGATTTTATTTCATGGAGATATTGTTCGCACTTCATTATTACATTCATTTATATTCATTTACATTCATTTGTATTTTAATAAAAAGTGCTTTGTCACCATTGCTATTAGCAATATAAAACAACAACAAAATACATAGTGTATCTCGGCGGTGCGACAGAAGTGGCAAAATGTAAACGCTGATTGAGTCTAAATATTTGTATTCCACAGATTTACTAAACGCTATTTATCCGCTTCACTTATATTTAAATCGTAGTAGGCACATGCGCTCATTGGGTCTCTACCACTGATTGTTTATTACAATGCCTGCGATAGGTCTATTGGATGTACAGCGGATTCCCCAAACAATAATAAAGTGGTGGCCATTTTGAATTGATTCTTTTTTCAAAATCAAAATGTTGTAGCTGAACTTTTACTTTTTAACTTTCTGTTATGGGACAAGGAAAGTCAAAGGAACGCTATCAAAAGGCTGTAAAAAAGCTTAGTAGCTTAGAACTCGATAATATTGGAGCAGTTTTCCAAGAATTGTCTACCAAGACCGAGGACGGTACGAGAAGAGTAGAGCTATCACTATTGACAAGACAGGATTTTGCTGAACGATTTCACTTAACTGGATTTGTAGCAGAGCGACTTTTTCATGCTTTTGATAAGACTGAGGTAACAATTTGATGTCTGCCTAGTCCTTTATCACTTATTTGTAGTCTTATAAGATAGAAGCTTGCAATTTGTAAACTGCTTAAACTTAAGTGTCAAAATAATATACTCATGTTTCTAGAATGGTACTATAGATCTAGACGAGTTTGTTGGTGGTATTGCTCTTTGTCTTCATGGTTCAGTAAGGGACAAGTGTAGACTTCTATTCAGAATCTTTGATTTGGTAAGTACATGTATCAAGAAAGATGGCATTGGCTTCAGACTGCAGGGTGTTCATTGTGAATTTTCAATGCTGCTTGGACAGTTACAAAGAGAGATTTTAACCTAATGTATGTGCAAAGTGTCACTTTATTGCAGTCATCTTGCTGTACTGTAGTCATAATCTTTTTTTCAAATTTTATCAATGTTTCCATTGATCGTTTTCACCCATTCCCRTGAGATTCAAAAGATAAAAGACCGGCGGCCATGTTGGAGGAATGAACAATAGTTACTAATGAGAAATCCTTTGTTAAARTTCCTCCAAGATGGCCKCTGTGACGTMACCTGYAAACGAAGAATAGTTTCACTGACTGTCAGGCAAGGTTCAGTGACTGTGCTGAATGTCGTCTTTTACATAATCCATGCCATTGAAAAATTGTTGTAAATCTGCCTTGTTCATTTCTGTATTATTGTTTTAAAGGATGAAGATGATGGAGTCAGCAAGGATGAATTAACAGCAGTACTTTTGAGCTCAGTGGAATCTGCAGAGAAGATTCTCAGTAATATAGAAGAAGACAGAGAGCAATCTGATGTCAACATTCCTGATGACACTGATAAGTTGATTGAGAATGTCACAAGGTTAAACATCAACCACTTACCAATATCCNGGGTAGCCGCCCACTAGAGCATACCTTTAGCTACCCTCTTAGACCATCGTACTATGAAGACACTTATACATGTACAATATCTAATGGGGGTAGTCTATTCGGCGAAGTTCTATGCTAATATATGACGTCACCAAAATCCTTAGGGATCAGCGAGCCAATCAGAGCTCAGCTAGGAATTTGCAATACAGGCTTTGCATAATTCTTCAGTGGATTATTATTTGATGGGGGAGGGGATGGGTGCTGAGTGCTGGTTTGCGGCCGAATACCGATGCGCGATGGCTTTCACCAAGCTGTTCAATTGTCGTTATTGTTTTCCAAATCATCACAGGAAAATTAGGTGTACAGTTCTTATATCAGGCAGAAATTATTAGTATTCGGGGCACAAATCCTATGAAATTCTTAACGTAAGTGGTTTACAAACCAGGAAGATATTTGCTGGAATATACAGAACACAATTAAAGACTTCTAGAACCTTCAACATTTTCGTTCTTGATGATACAAAAGTTTACACATTATTGAATATAAATATAGTGATTGTTACATGTAACAATTGAAGAGGATAAATGATAATCAGTAAAAAATTGATAAAGAAATCAAGGAAAACTTAAGCAAGCTTTTGGTTTTATTGCAAAACTTTAACCAGCGAATAATAGTAATAAACATGGATGAAAAATACAGTTAAAGATAACAAAAACATTTTATCGAAGAAAACGTTCGAGAATTTATCATGAGTTTAGATACAGAAAGATGTCTTTTTGATTACTAAATTAAAAATTCTAAGGGCCGCTTAATGTCGTGGATAAAAATCCCTTTTCCGAATCAGTTTCAGATGGATATGTTTACTGTTGGGGAACCAGTGCGCCCCGCGTCAGGCCCCACGGGAGGAATGATCAACCATCACAATAGGTTCCTTGGCCCCTGGGAATCGCCGCATTTTGTGTATTCATAGGCAATGTAATGGTTGATCGCCACGTGATACTTCCAGTTCCTTGCAACGTACACAGATATAAATTCAGAAAACGTTGTATACTGAAGTCACGTGCAGTCCTCGACTGCCTATTTAGCACTCTGATTGTTTATTGGCTAAGTGTGGGATCCCTTTGTTGCAATGCCTGCGATAGGTCTATAGGTTGTACAGCGGATGCCCCAAACAATAATAAAGTGGTGGCCATTTTGAATTGATTCCTTTTTCAAAATCAAAATGTTGTAGCTGAATTTTTACTTTTTAACTTTCTGTTATGGGACAAGGAAAGTCAAAGGAACGTTATCAAAAGGCTGTAAAAAAGCTTAGTAGCTTAGAACTCGATAATATTGGAGCAGTTTTCCAAGAATTGTCTACCAAGACCGAGGACGGTACGAGAAGAGTAGAGCTATCACTATTGACAAGACAGGATTTTGCTGAACGATTTCACTTAACTGGATTTGTAGCAGAGCGACTTTTTCATGCTTTTGATAAGACTGAGGTAACAATTTGATGTCTGCCTAGTCCTTTATCACTTATTTGTAGTCTTATAAGATAGAAGCTTGCAATTTGTAAACTGCTTAAACTTAAGTGTCAAAATAATATACTCATGTTTCTAGAATGGTACTATAGATCTAGACGAGTTTGTTGGTGGTATTGCTCTTTGTCTTCATGGTTCAGTAAGGGACAAGTGTAGACTTCTATTCAGAATCTTTGATTTGGTAAGTACATGTATCAAGAAAGATGGCATTGGCTTCAGACTGCAGGGTGTTCATTGTGAATTTTCAATGCTGCTTGGACAGTTACAAAGAGAGATTTTAACCTAATGTATGTGCAAAGTGTCACTTTATTGCAGTCATCTTGCTGTACTGTAGTCATAATCTTTTTTTCAAATTTTATCAATGTTTCCATTGATCGTTTTCACCCATTCCCRTGAGATTCAAAAGATAAAAGACCGGCGGCCATGTTGGAGGAATGAACAATAGTTACTAATGAGAAATCCTTTGTTAAARTTCCTCCAAGATGGCCKCTGTGACGTMACCTGYAAACGAAGAATAGTTTCACTGACTGTCAGGCAAGGTTCAGTGACTGTGCTGAATGTCGTCTTTTACATAATCCATGCCATTGAAAAATTGTTGTAAATCTGCCTTGTTCATTTCTGTATTATTGTTTTAAAGGATGAAGATGATGGAGTCAGCAAGGATGAATTAACAGCAGTACTTTTGAGCTCAGTGGAATCTGCAGAGAAGATTCTCAGTAATATAGAAGAAGACAGAGAGCAATCTGATGTCAACATTCCTGATGACACTGATAAGTTGATTGAGAATGTCACAAGGTTAAACATCAACTGCTTATCAATATTCTTAAGTGATAATTAACTTATACATTTGTGATTTGCATTCATTATTTAATTCCTTTATAACAATTGTTTTTAAATTAGTTCAAAAACCTTTGTCTTCTATTGATTAGATAGTAATATTTTGACCATTTTGAGTTTAGATTGATACTGCAAAAGTTGTGTACTGGACTATAATATTTCTCTATCATTTTGTTTAAGGGTTGTGCAAGAAGCATTTGAAAAATGTGATGTTGGTAAAACTGGGAAATTATCAGCAAAGGTAGAAAAGGAAACAAAATTTGACAATCTACATTGCAAAATAGCATATGAATTACTTAATTTGTGTACTCTTGATTGCAGGAATTTGAGCAGTGGTTACACAAAAACCCTAAAATCATGGATAATGTATTTGGATGGCAATGYCCAAAGCCAGAAGGTAGAAATGATGACTTTGACCAATATTGTACATTGCTTGTTTTTTTTGTCCCATTTGTATTATACTCTTGCTGCAATTTGGATAATCAGTGAAACTATCCTAGTTGAGGCTACTTGAGTATAAACCTGACCAAACAGGTAACAGTAACTTTTGAGTAATTGAAATWAAAGTATTCTTGTCAATGTAGCCCTGATTCAGTAGTTTTGTCATCTGTTGCCAAATCATATGAACAGAAAGATGGCTGTACAGATACTACAGTTGTATAAGAAACATAATAATCACCATGAAGCTGACCTGTTGCTATGGTCCAAAAAACTCTGCAACTAATAATATTTCATTTCTAAACATTTCCCAGAGGGCCAATGGATGAATGAAATCATTSATCCACAGACAGCAAAAATTGGTGTCCTTGAATCAACCTCACCAAGAAATCCTAGTCCATTTTCAGAAATCCCTGAATCATCCAAAGACTCCCGCAAACTTAGCGATCTTTTCAACGCCCAACCAAGCGCAAGTGAAGGGCAGTCATTTTTTGACACTTTAAATCCAGCTGGTCCTGCACAGACCACAGAAGGAAGTCCAGAAGCTGAAAGTCAACTAGTTGATACCAGAGAATCAGAGAGAAGTGATTTCTTAAGTCATGAAATTCTCCAAGATACTAGTACATTTCAGGACCAGCCTCTAGTTCCRGATCAATTTGCTAACAAAAACATTCCTTCTGAACCACCACACAAGTCTCTTGAAGACATAGTTSAAGCACAAACACAGCCGGGGCTTCTTGTTGGTGAGCCTTCAGCACCTCAAACATATCAGTTTGTACAGCARCCTTTTCCTACACCTCTGATAACACAACATCACTTACAGGACGCTAGTACACCACAGGAACCTTTTCAGCCTACAACTATTCCWGTCACACCAACACATCAACAGGCTATGAAATTCCATCCAGAACCCATTCACACCAGTCATTCACATGTTGAAAAACCCAGTAATCTTTCAGAGACTGAACATGGTAAAGAAGAAAATATACACCCATCAGTACCAACTGCACCTGATGTAGAATTAGATACCAAACAAAGTGAAGTAGATAAGTTGACGTCGGCATGGATTCCGACCGTGCAAACATCGCAGCTTCTCACAGCTGTCAGCTCGGGATTGACAAGCAAAGAGCAAATTGATCAGCATTTCCTTACTTCACCGGAAATTGCTATTGATGAACCTCAGGTAAGGCATGGTAGATCAATTGATTATGGTGTCAATTAAAAATGTTTGCAAACTGATTGGATATACTGCTCTCTCCCTCCCATTGTGTTGAGACACAAGCATTTGTGTTAAATTTTCCTTTTTATATAATTTTTCTGGCTTTTTTGAGTGAACAAGCAGCAAACTATATGTCTCTGAACTTTTATATGAATAAGGTCATCAGCCAATTAGAGCTAGTGTTATACATAAAAACTACATATATTAGAATCATGGTAGATTAAGATATCTAAAATCTCAAAATAATGTGGTTTTATTAATAAGTATTTGATTTTTCTGATTCAGTTTGATCCAGTAAAAGATCTGCTGTTTAAATATAGTGAAGAACAAGATGCAGACAAACGTCAAACTCTTAATGTGGATAATGTTCCATTAAATGAGTCTGGATTGAGAGAATTACTGGTAAGACATAAAGTATCATGTAATGGATATACCAATCAAACATTTAATGTGTTGTATTTAAAGGTTATTCCCGCATCAACCACCAACAAACTCTACTGAACATTTTTCAAGGTTTAGAGTCATTTTCATCCGTATTTGAAACAATTACTACTAGTCAGTGTTTGATAGTAACTGTTAGGGTGTAGAAGGCTACCAAAAGGTAAAATCAAAACCGTTTTAGCCTAATTGGTTTGTCCCATGTCATAAGTTAAATGATTGGGAGGTAATAGCGGGTAATAGTGTTTAATAGTACAATTCCTATTTCACAGACTGATGAAAATGACTCTATACAGTTATTTTTAAATGGCCAGACAAACAAATTAAAACTTTTATCTCCTTACCACCTTTCATTTATCARCAAAATCATTTGGTGAAACTATGCAAGTTTCCTTTTATTTCTCTTCTATTTGATATGAACTCAGAATTTTTTTTGTTTTTTACTTTGTGCAAAGCCACTGAAGGTATTTCCTTTGTATCATAACTTGTGCTTAGAGACCAATAATTTGTTAATTGCCACKTGTCAAGGAAGATTTTCAAATTTTAGGCTACAGAATGCTGGAGAGCTGCATTAGAGTTTACAGCAAGATTTCTTACAGCACATGGYCAGGGTATTGGACAGCATGGGCAGAGGGCCATGCATACGCACAGGACTCTTCAGGTATCCCTAGGAAAATCAAGATTAGCATTGTCAACATYATTAGTTTTCTCAAAAATAATGTACATTATTTTACTCATTTGGGATTGGTTAAGTGCTGTCCATTAATTCTTTWTGGCTTGCAACCAGTATACAGTAGTTTTTCATGTTTAACTGTAAAGTCTCTCTGATATAGCAGTGATATGTTGGTCACCATAACAGGGGCTTTGTGAGGCAGAGGGGCACCACCTCAAAATTACCACACCTTGAAAAGTTTGAGACTGGAACAAAGACTGCCAATTGTATACTATATTCTAACTTCTAGACTCAAAGCAACACTTTTATTTCAATGCATTGCAGGTATGGTTTTGTAGAATAGCATTACTTTACAAGCTACAGATGTACAGCACTGCCGTGGCCGAGTTGGAAGCATTTAAAGACTTCAATCAACCTGACCTGTTTTATGAATTTTACCCTGAAACTTACCCTGGCAGAAAAGGTGAAAGCAGTGTGATGCTGTGCATTCATTTGAACCTCTTCAGTATTTTGTGTGTTAGTCAATGAAAATATCAAATGTGGTTTATTGATTGAGATGTCTTTGTTTAGGATGTATGGTTCCCTTTTCTTTGCGAATTTTACAAGCAGAGCTGCCACAGCACACCGGAAAACCTAATGAAGCATTGGATAGACTGTATAGTCTACAGAGAATGTGCAAAACAGTCTTGAAGCATCTTGAGAATGGTTTAAACGAAGATGGAACAGAGTCACCTGATAGGGCTGTTGAAAGTAGGGAAGGTATGTTCTTGCTGTCTCTGATTACTTTGTATGGCACAGTATTCCTCTCTGAAAAGGAGAATAATTGCTTTTTTAAATGTCTTTGTCAAACCTACATGTACTTTACAAAATGTAACTTCTTTTACAAAGCTGCTGTCAAACTTTGGAAAGAACGCAATTTGCGAGTTATGTATGCCATTGGAAACTGTTTTCTTGCTGCCAAGGTAAGCCKTTTTATACATCTTTATTGAATTAGTAGTGAATAGATAGTTTTCAACCCATTTTTTTCATGTGATTGTCTATTAATCAATTCAGCTATTTTTATTTTTATTTTACAGGACTATAATCTAGCTGTTTCTCTATTTGAGTCAATAATCAAAGAAGATACAACAAATTCTACGACTTTGTATTCAGGCATCGGGCGTATTTACCTTCAGGTATTAATATATAGCGATTTGCGCACGTACTTCAGCAATGCACACTTTGAACATTACAAGTTCAGTCACTTGATGTGTGAAGAGCTCTTCGGCACATTTGTGCAAAACGACTATTTCTTTCAGATAAATACTGGAGTCCTATTCAGATTTTATTTGATTCATAATTTCTATTTTGAATATTTGTTGGGGATGTGGGATGTGGCTACCCTAATCATCTCTCCAGGATCCGCCTTTGAATCAAGAGTAGTCAATACTTATTTCCCACCCAGGCGTTTATGCTTTGTAAAAACTCGGTGCAAAGGCTACTTCTTTGCATTCTATTTTCCTATACAACCGATATTTATTGAAGTTTTTTTTTATCTGAAAAGCTTGGGGATTTAGAAAGAGCAGAAGCGTATTTCAAGCGAGTGGAGGAAAGTGTTACGGGTGATCCTGAAAACATGACTACAGTGGTTATGAACAAGTGAGTAGTGACGTTTTATGTATTATCATGGTTTAGGTGATATCAAGTCATTCACGTAATAGTARGTACTTTTTAATAATCTTTTCACAGTAAAATGTAAACGACTCTAACTCTGTCTTGTACAAGTAGAAGTAAAACAAAAGAAAAGGAAATAGTAGAAAAATATTACTACTGTAGACTCTTATGTCATTCTCCTTTTTCACATTCATTGATATGATAGGAAAATTGTTGTATGATTATATCTTTTTTTTTCTATATATTTTTGGTCATAAATGTTATCGTTTTTTCTTCTTAGGGGATTCATGTCGCTTGCTAGAGGATATTATGAAGAAGCACACAAACATTTTGTGGCGGCCACAAAGCTGGATCCTGAAAATTCCGTGGTGAGTTTCTACGATAACATACCTTTGATCCCAGCTTGTTTCTCCGCGTGGCTGAGAAACAGAGTTCAGTATAATCTCTATCTTACAATCAAGAGCCGCAGGAAATATGTGATATAGTGGCGTCTGCGCTTGCTCATCGTTTAAGCCTGTAATGATGTTTATAACAATATAATGGCAATTTAAGTCCAATACCAAACCATGCTGGTAGATCAGATTGAGGATTTTTACGTATCTGTGTTTTGTTCAAATACTAACTTGCATTGCTTTTACCATTTTCCTACCTCATATATTTCATTTTGTGAGCAAACAACCGTTGCCATATCCAAAATTATTGGATTTCCGAGTTGTTAATTCGTCGGACATTCCTATCGTAAGGCATTAGTTTCCATTATTTATTTATTTTTAYTTTTTGTCGTTTGTTATTTTTGTATTCGCACATCTCTTTCCATTCAATCATTCAATTACGCATCCATTAATTTATTCTTTTTCTCATCCATTTAAAGTGAAGTCATTTAATTTGTCAAACAAACTCATTCAAGTGTGATAGTACGTCGAAAGAAAACAATTTAGTTAGTGCGTAATAAGGGGAATTATTGGAATATCTATATATTTCACAGTTTTTTTTGACCGCACTCTATACTACACACTTGTGAAAGATTATATGTTATACTTATCTGTGCGTGTAATGTGGGGTAATTCAGAGCATATTAGCTAAAAATAACAAACAACAACCCTTTAGCTATTACGCCTCAAGGGACTCGATATTATCCGGGTGCCTATGTCTTTTTATCGAATCTCGAAAAAGGTTTTTACTACTCTTTATAAACTGTTTCTATCATAGTACCGCGAACTAATTGCCCTATCGCGTAATGATGTCACAGCATGTTGACAAGGGGACGAAATGCTTAAAACAGTGGAAATTTGGACCTATTCGTTGACATATTTCAACGATTGCTAATATGAATTTTCTTTGATATGCGGTTCTATCACCCCTCTGATGGACCATAATCCTTAGGGCGCGGCTTGGACCGAATTTACCTCCTTAAAGTTTGGCTTCGTGCAGCGCGCGTCATCAATAAACTAAAACTAATGGCGGGAACTGGTGATGTGATCATTGAGGATAACTTCTTTTTGCAATGAAACATGCAATGCCTCGTCTCTAGAAGAAAAAAAATGGTCGGAAATGTTTGTTCAGTGCGTTTGTTGGAAACAATTCTGAAAAAAATACCAGAGTTTTTATTCTCTTCATTTCCAACCAACAAGTCATGTTGGAAATTTGAAATGTGAATTATTAGCATCTGTTTGATATCTGTAAAATTTGAACATCTAAAGACTTTTTTAACTTCATAGTAAAAGAGGCCACCATCCTTTAGTGTTGACAGTTCCTGGGAGCGGAAACACTCTGATGCTCATAATTTTTATGCTAATTGATTGCCTTCCCATGTCCCCTTTCGGTCTTAGCTTAGCGGCGTTTTGTCGATTAGGTGTATGCGTCAGATAAGTGTATACCTCAATAGTCCCGCACTATGCCCTCGAGGCAAGGGAAACTATMAGCTCCTAYCATTAACAGAAGGAATCCACTTAGTTTGATTTAATGCATTGTTTCTCCCTCACTTCCTGACGAGGCTTTTCTTCTGCATTTACTTTTTATCATTTTTTGGTATCCGGTTTTACTAACACCAAAAGCTATGATAGTGCTTTGCTAGAACTGTTGAAAGCTCTCGGAATAAAGGGGATTTTTATACCATAATCAAAAACGTAAGCTATTGTTGTGTTGGTCATGACTGCGGGATTTTGGGAGGGGGCAGTTCCGTGTTAAAAGGTGATCAGTCGTAAATGAATATCTTCAAAAAGTTGATAACTTCGATTCTTATGACAGCATTCTTGTAATTGGATGTAGATTGGGTACTCTCAAAATGTATTTCTGAAGCTTCTTCTGTGACATTGTTTTTAAAGGCAGTTATTGCTTTGAGCTCGCAATAACATCAAGACTTTTCTAATCATATTGAAGACTGCAACTCAGTACTGTATAGTTAAGACCGTAAAAGTGTACATTTTAATCTTAAATTTATCTGCACGCCCAGCACGACTAGTTATGAAAAAGAAATATTTTCGGATTAGCAAAGCTACATGCGTTTTCACGTAAAATATATAGGGTCAAATACTACAGAGACATGGCGGAACACGAGAGCGCGAACTTCGATTCTCCATTTGGCTGAAATGGGAGATTTTCCACTAATTACGAAAAGATTTCCGTCGATATGGGAATATGATGAATTCATTTGCAATCACAGTAGTCAGAGGTTATCAGACATTGAATCTTTGAGAAAAGTTATAGGACAAGGCAACCGTTTAATAATTTGTGCAGGCGAAGAACCCAAACGAGCATGAGTGAATTAAAGTTTCGTTGTCCTTCAAGTTTTCAAATTTATTTGGACTTTTTCATCCCGACCAACTTAATTTCTTACAAAAGTAAATTTTTTCCCACAAGATTTGAATTGGATGGTAGCGTACAAGGCGTTAGACGATTAGGTCCATGGACGCCTTAACCTTTCGATTGTTGTTACGTCACAATGACGTCACTACTGATTAACATCAGATCCAGATAAGACAAAATAGTACACGAGAATTCATYCCTTTGTATATTAATAAGAAGATTATAACTTAAAAGAGCTGAAAACGGAATTTCTGTGCTAGAAATAACATGTTTGGATGTGATTTTCTCCATGATGCGAGGATACAGCGTGATTTGTATAGTTGGAGACTGGGACAGTTATCGACCCTTATCAAGAGGTTCCTATATCTTGATCACCCCACTTCAGACCACCTTAATTACACAAACAATTTTTCTTTACAATCGTACAGTATCAAAGTAAAGTATCAAAGTACAGTATCACGTATCTCGACAAAGATAGCAAAACACAATGTTTTTTTAATTCATCCAACATGGCGGAGATAACCTTTGTTCTTTGCAGTATCGGACCTTCTTCTCCAGAGAGAGCAATGCAAAAATTTGACGAGCACGTGACTTACCTCCTCCCGTAATCCGGCATCGCTATGGGCCACGGGATTCCTGGTCTTCTTGAAGCCAGGAAAAGAAAGTTGTCCAACACTTTGACAATACCATGCACACATTTTTCATCCCGAGTCCCTAACGGTTAATATAACGATTACAAAGGAAGACGGAGGGACAGATATTTACAGGGTTTCCAGAACGCGGCACGGTTTTTTTTCAGTGACTTTGTTAGTGGTTGTAGACTATTGGATATCCTATATGATAATTGAAATTTCTTTTCTCATTAATAAATGCCAGGGAAGAAAATACTGTATGATGTTAATTAACTTTATTATATTTCTTTTTTGACAGGCTACCAATAATGTTGCTGTTTGCTTACTTTTCCTGGGAAAACTGAAAGAGGTCAGTAATAAATTTATAACTATTTTTCTTTTTTTATCGAGCTTTGTATACTTGTATAATAGGTTTATGTCTTTCGTCGTTTGTTATATGTAAGGTGAGGGAAGGGTGTTTTTTTTTCAATGTAATGTAAAACGTATGATTAATGTATATGTTTGTCATTGTAACATGATTGTAATTCAAACAGTTGGAATTTATATCAAAAACATTATTAAAAAAACTGGTTTAGCAAGTAAGTTGTTGATAATTGCCGGATGATGATTGACCAAAACAGCATCCAATCAGAATTCGCTTCATATATCGTGGTGTAGTCTACTGGAGGTCCAGTGTACAATTTGTGGTGGCATTTCACACATGGACTTTACGGGACATCAGAAGTCCGACTGTGCGCGCCAAATCTTACGGGTTAACCCTATTGAAAACATCTAATCAAAGCGTATTATAATATTACCATTTGATATTGTGATTAAGCAGTTCATGCTGTCTGCTTCATACTTACCCTCYAMGGCCAATTATCTGAATGTTTGCTTTCTTTGCTATTTAAGTGGTTTCACCGYTTAAAAGTACACTAATTGTACTGGAATGTTGAACACAGAGCTAAYTTATCTGARARTTGAAGTCAGTGTTACTAAAAATAAATTCTGACCTCCTTTTACTGTATTCGCGGGGTTCTGTTGTTTTGTTTTCTGGTTTTSCTTGTTGTTTGATAGCAGCTATAATTAAAAGACAATCTGTTCTTTTTGGATGGGAAATTGTTTTGAATGTTCGACTTCGTATGTCCTCCAAAAAGGAGCTTTTTGTCATTATTATGATAATTATTATTATTTTATTATATTTGTCTTCACGGCTGGACGGCAACTTAGCTGTTGTCAGCTAACAGGGGTGGATCTAGACTAGTGCCACTAGTTCCATGGAACTAGTCAAAGTATTTTAAAAGTAAAAGAATTCAATGTTTTCTAAATATATTATCGTCAAAAAATGCGTTTAAAAACGTATTTTTATAGATTTTTTTAACGATAATTGCCACTGCCACAGGGATCCTGTGAAGCATATTCATATGATTCAAAATTTGTGCTTTGGGGTAGAGTCCCACGGGAATATTGCTTTCAAATGATATGTTGTCACGCAGTTGCCCCTTTGCACTAGTCAGCTTTGTTTTCTCATGTTTTCTGGCACTAGTCAAAGTCGATTTTCATTGGCTACTTGTATGGCTGGCACTAGTCGGCACTGGTAGGAAAGATCGAGCTAGCGTGACACCAGAATGTATTTCACAAGACACTCAAGAATAAATCTATACAGTCGATACAGTCAGAATTATAAAACATGGCTTGAAATRTAAATCGTGGAGATCCAGCTTGCCGAAAGGTTCGACTTCTTATTTGATTTAGGTGTTTTGTTTAACGATCTTCTGATTAAAAACGATCAAATCACAAACGTGTGGAAACCGCGCCGGCCGACAGCGCGACAGAGTTGTCTTTAATACAAACTCTGCCGGCCGATGCCGGCCGATAATGCGTTTGATTCCCTGAGTCAAAAGAAGTTAGAAGAACTAGAAGATCCAATCCTGTATTGATAAAGTCCGGCTAAAGAATTGTTCGTGGTTGGCTTATTCAAAATATCTCGATGGACAACTGTCTTTCAATGCCTCGAAGGTCATTCAAACGGCATAAAATGTCAAACACACAAATACGAAGTATGAGACAAGAAGTACATTTTTTGTGCCTTTCGATCAGCAGCTAGTACGTTGCTAAAGCAACAAATAGCCAGTAATAGAGATATAATCGCGTCATTCAAGACTATAATTTTTGTGGGCGCAATTATATTCCCCTACACGGTCGAGGAGTCGATAATCCGTAATAGTTAATTTAGAGTTTCAAAATTTACATGTTTGTAATTACTAAAAAATCGTAATTTTGCAATTATGGTATATCAAGGTATATGGGGTATGGTTGGTTTGAAGGATGGCACTAGTCAACAAAAATCCTAGATCCACCCCTGGCTAATGTTATATATTTTCTTTATTTTTAAGGTGGATTTATGATTTATGAGAATTTATGACAAAAAAAACGGAAAGCAAGTCTTAACGTAGCATTGTTCTATTTTAGGCTCTTCATGTCTTAGAAGCAATCATTTGGTCCAATCCCCCAAAGAACCTGAACGATGGATTGTTATTCAACCTTTGTACGATCTACGAACTAGAATCGTCATGGAGTATGCAGAAAAAGCACAAATTATTGGAACTTGTTTCTCAATATAAAGGAGACGGCTTCAATGTTTCTTGTCTAAAGTTATCTTGACCAGGTGGTTTATAGATTACTGATGACGTCACTCAAARCGCAGAGCATCCTGGTTGGTCTAGCTACTCTTGTAAGATAGACGTTTAGTGAAAACGCCTGCCGACAGCTTTCTATTTTTAAGAGAATTAAGATTACATGGGATGAAATTTTATTGAACATTGATAGTTACGCATCGGCTAGTTTAACTCGTAAATCGTAGATCTTCTTCTTTGTACTTTTCAAAATCAATATGGCGACCATATCTCATATGCGTCCAAGAAAAATAAATCTAGATATGTCTTTCAAAAGATTTATCAGTCTTTCCTCATCTTTGAAGTCATATTTAATGTCGATCGGTCGTTTTGCCACAATAATTAAAATGTCTAGCCTTTCATGTGTTTGTATTCCCACGGCGATATCGATTTTTTCACTTTCAAGTGTTAGGTAAATAAAATGAAAGAAGTCCGTGACGTCACCGTTGTTGTCTAGTCTCCCCAGYGATACAATATGGATAAATGTACTGAGACACTCGCCCTTATTGCTACCTTGTGTACATTTGCTGCAAAGACGCGGCGRCGAACCGGTTATCAATTCACAAATGCTGATAATCTATTCCTATCTCCTTATGACGTCATGTGATGCTTCGCGATAAAATGCATTGTGGGATTGATTGACAAAATTACAAAAACTGCGGACAAGCTGTTCGTCGATCTATTTTCCTATTAAAAAGGCGTTTTTTTATGATTCTCGGCAACGGGTAACATTCATTTCAAGAAAATTCATCCTACGTACGTATTTTTTTCACAACAGTGTTGTAAAACATCCGCCATCTTAAATTTTTTTATCAAAACCATGATCGGCACTTTGCTATTTTTTCATCCGGTTGTTAATTCCATGGCTGATGGAGATATAAATAAATGCTATAATGCATTGTAGAAAACTCCCAGGTTTATCTGGCGACATTGAAAAAAGAGCGGGAAGCATTAAAAAATTATGCGCAGTTTAACGAACCGATCAGTTTTAATAGGCGAAAAAGTAAAACGTCACCAGTGATAGCCAGTTTTTTCCAGAAAATTCGCATCAGAATTGCGAACAATTTGGCATTTCAGCAAAATTTCAGGAAATTTCTAAGAAATGGAATGTGAAGAGAAATCCACTGGGCGCGATTGGGCGCACGCTTTSACATTTTAAATCGATTGAATTTGGATTTATTTTCCAGAAATAGCACAAAATAAATCAGTGTGCACGATTACCTGTAACCTCACTCACTTAGAACGTTGAACCTCGACCTTCTTTACTATAATGTTTTTTGTTGTGTGTGTTTTTTAATTTTTTTATAGAGAGCATAATAGTTAGGAAAAAAATATACTCGACGATCGTAACTTCCGTCATCTCCCGTTCAAMAACCACGCATGCAGTTCAATAAAGTAAAGGTTAATGTATTTTGCAGTTGGCCTCGAGGTATTAAATGGCGGGTATATAACATTCAAATACTGTTGTTTTGACCACTGCGACGTTAATAAAACTACGTATTTCAATAGCGATTCGCCTGTGGTGGTCTTTCTCACACTCGCAWTCCGTCACTCGTCTGCAAAAATAATCTGTTGGTATCAAATACTTTTCATATTACAAGAATAACTGCACTGATCCTATTACATTCTATAATCGTCGGCAAGTCTCTTTTTACCACAATCGGTATGACCGACTGCTCAAAAATGCACTTGACTGGTATTTCGGCCACTTATGACGTCATGTGAAGAATCGCGCAACTTTATGTCACGCTGTGACGTATGGTAAGGTCACTAATCGTCGAGGTCATGGACAATTAGTACTTTTGTAGTTATGTTTGATCTTGACAGATAACATAACGTTTAGTAAGTTAATTTGTATCAATGTACGTCTGTGTACAATTGCAGATCCAAAACGCTACAAAGGGAGGCGGGGAACTCAAGAAATAATATCAATGGGTCCGCCCTTAATTTGTGTTCGKATCAACTGAAGTTCCGCGATGTCCATTGTTTCCGATTCCCGGTTTCTCAACACCTATTATTTCACGGTAGAATATTTGACTTTTTTTGTTGTTGATTTTGTTGTTGTTGTTTGTTTATTTGTTTGTTTGTTTGAGATCATCTCATGTCTGTGCATGAGTTATTTCATACTTGTTCAAAYATGATGATGAGCCTTAGTTTTTACAGTTCTTTAGCCATTTTAACTTTTATATAGTCCACATGGAGTAAGCGATGGTACAATCTTCCTTTGTGGACAATAATAAGCGGTCAAATCATGGCTCGAACTCAAACGGTGAATCCAGTCACAAGTTCCCAAGTCCATTAATTAATATTTCTGCTTATATTATGATCTAATTAGTAGTGCGTATTGAATTTGTCATGTGTCTTCATGATGAGGTGTTTGGACCTACCTGTTATTGTCATTATCTTTGCAATTATCATCATGATGAATACCGATTGAAACTTCATCAATGAGGAGAGTTTCTCCGGCTCTGAGTYTCAAAAAAACTAGTGCTCAATTGTAATTCAAAGATGATCTGTCAAATTAACGTCAAAAAGAACTTRTATTGGATCCCTCGGCGGATCCTCAGCCATGGTGTCTCCCTTCCCTCGGGGCATCAAAAGGTTGTAGTATACGATATAATATATTGAGTAAAGGGCCGTACACTTGCTTCAATAAACGTTTCATAGACTATCCATAGCCTTTATTTATCAAAAGCCATTTTGCACAGGTGTAGTAAGCTTATAAGTCTAATCTATGTATCTTTTATTAAGAGCCTGTTCAAGATTTTCATCTGGTTATACGTAAATACTGGACCTACTAGTCATAAAAATAATAATGATGATGATGATAAGAATCAATTMTCGTTAATTTTCATCATATACTAATTATTATTAATATAATAACTTGAAAGCAAGAGAAACGTCCGAAAAATGAGCAAAGTATAATGGGAAAAGAAGATGGTCAATCGTGTAAAATACAGTGAGGCTTCCGCAACGAACAAAGAAATAAACGATTGTCTCAAAAGGATTTTTGAGAACGTTATTCCGTAGTCTAGGTAACCAAGTTATAACAGTTCTAATTGTCAAGGATTTATTATTAATCACTGACCTGCCTCTGCCATAAGCTGTACGCGATATGCTTTTCAAACGCAATTTTCATATTAAGATATTTCAAGATATCTCATGTCCGATAGCCGACTAAATGATGCAAATTAACTGRAATTTATTAACTTAGACGAGCTTTTCATATTGTCTATAAATTAAATCGAGGAACCTTTAGTTTGTCCATTTCAGCTGACCACACGCTTTGAACAGAGTAGCTAAAAATTTCATTTTATTCAATCCCGCGCTTCTTATTTGTAATTCGAATATCTCTAACATATAATTATTTACTACGAAGAGTGTTTTTTTTTTTCAACCTCTTTTCATTTTAATTATTTTTTAGGTTTTTTTTAGCGATTTGAAATATAACTCAGTTGACGTCAAATGTTATTGTCTTCTGAGTATTTTTGATTTTTGCTTTTGCGTGGCCTCTATTTTGCACCAACAGGAATAGTGAGAATTCATTATTATTTTTAAAAATAAGAGGACAATAGGATATTTAAGTCCTTCCGATATCAACAAATTTTAGTTTTCCTTCTTGTGATTCTTTGAYGAATACGTGTTAATCTCTCTTGAGAAAATTCTTTTTTTTTGCATTTTTTTTTTTACTTTGACTAAAAATTTACCAAATGAAATAAAGAAAAAAGAAAAAGAGAAAAATTTATAGAAAGTCCGATTGCAAACGATTGTTGACGCATGCGCATAATAATCTTGTGACGTCATACCGTCACGGTCTAATTTGCTTCTTGTATACACAAAAATCGTTTGGAGAAGCAAGGAACGAGGTGGACATCAGCAAACTGTCCGTTTATACCACACTGTGTAGGTTGTACAAGATTGTCTACCCCGTGTGAGGTTAGTACTAGCATTAGTTCATAATTTTACGTGGTAGATTGACTCGCTAGTCAATGGCAAATGACCGTGGTGGTTTAGCGAATATGAACGGTCATCGTGTTTGAGATTTTTAGATGTCCACCTGCCTCAACTTTCTCTTACTCTTTGTGTCTCTCCTCTTTCCAAACTGTGTTCCTTACGCAAGAGAGGACAAAGTCTGTAAGCAGTATTGAATGGACAAACCATTGGCTCGAAGAAAACTTTCACGTTGTACGCTTTGTCTTTAAAATGTTTGAGTGAGCGACGAGAGCGCTTGCTGAATGCTTTTGTACGGGGTCCATGCCTATTTTGTACTTTCTGTACAAGTTATACGATACAAATGCGTCCTCTTGGAAAAATAACGAAACTCCACAATTAATTTTATTACTGAAACACTGTTTTAGTTCCTTCCGCACACCGCATAAATGCGAATAATAGCCACATTTCTCGTTCGATAAATCGCTTTATCCGCAAAATATTTTGCTGAGATTTTTCCTGACTTACTCGGTCAAAGCTCAACGTGAACGTCAATGAATCCGTCGTTCAACAGTTCCGTTTCTGACTCAGCTACAGTTTTCGAATAGTTTTGGCTTTCGACTTTTTGTAGTCATTAGAAATTCAGAAGTAGCAGCCAAACAACGGCGAAACGTTGAGTGCCATCCATTGTCTTTGTTGTTGTTGTCGATGCTGTTCCGATAGGATCTACGATTTGTGTTCACACGCCTTCATTCTCCAGAAARACTCTAGCAGCTTTCAAAAAGGCCAGCTAGCTTTGAATCGAACCATTGAGTTTGCTTTCTTTCCATGTGTATCAACTGCTGTTTTGCTTGGAGTCCATTCAATAGAAAAAGCGTCCTGCCTTACGAAGCGACTGTTGTTTCCTCGCTCGGTGCTCAAACCGAATGAGCTAAATTCTAATTGCTTTTTACTCTTATGTTTGTAAGATACTCGACGGCCAAAGCCCCTTGGGACTCAAAAGGCTTCTTGTGATTAAAAAAGAATGATATTTTTTCCAAATCGAAACTAACTTTTTAAACTCGAACGCGTAAAAAAGACAATTAAACAATTTTTTGTGTTGAACAAATCTTGGTTGTACGATAGCACTTGAACTGCTGTATACCTTGTCCAAATATTATCTCCATGCAATAAAACATCATTTGACATATGACAAAAGTTGTAACAAATTATAATGACACGATTTTTATTTTCCATTGGTTTTTGTACAATGAAAGCAACTGTAATTTTTCATTTCCAAAGTAACTTCTTCTCAATAATCTATCTTGCGAAGTGTGACAGATATTCTTATTATTCTGGTTGTGTTTGCCTTTGTACATTGTGGTAATTACTTGATGAAGGCAATCATAGAGCATCCTTGGATTACATACAAGCATACAGTTTCTTGTGTGCAAATATTCCCTCCTATTCATATGATTTTTTGCAGTGTCTTATTTGTTGCTTTTAGGCAGTTTGCCTATATCTTGTCTGTCTTCAATTGTATGCAATCATGCTAGATTTTAATGAATAATACCTTGCAGGCCCTCCTGTTTGCTAGTAAACTTAACTAGAGTGAATGCTATGTAGACATAAGTACTATGCTCTGTTTGGAAATATGACCTTGTCATATGTCAGCTAATGATTGGATGATGCTCTAAAGAGCTGTCTAGTAGTTCTTCTTTTAGGATATCCCCTTTACATTGACSCAAATTCAGGGCCTATAAAGACATATTTACAATCTACCGGCTACCTCCCATTTGCTCATTATAGTCAGATTTTAATGTGTTTTATATCTCTCTGAAATTTCAATCCTACCTGATGAGTGACAGAAGTGTGAAACTACATCCAACACAATGTTTTCTTGCAACATATTGTTATTTCATGATAGCCAAGACCACTAGTGACCCACTCACTTGAMTTAAAAGGCACTTTCCTGCATGAATATTACATTCTAAATTCACTMAATACTTTTATTGCATTTTAATAGSATGTTAGAATTTWWATTTCACACATCGAAATGTGTTGTCTACTTACAGTAAATTTAGATATGCATTTTATATTTTTTATGACATTATATCAACAATATTACAGAAATTAATAAGGGAATAATAGGAGTTAGAACAATAATTTCTTAAATCCTTTAACCCTCAACATTGATAAATTGGTAGCCAGAAATAGCTTCTTACAATTGTTCAGTGTATGTATTATGTATGGAAAATATTATCAAGGCATCAAAAATTGAGTTTCCACTATAGGGGCTGCTTTTTTTTAATCTAGGGAATAAAACTACTCTTATTTATCCAAGATAGCCACTAATAAGAATTCCAATTTACTGAAATTTTTTCTTCGTTAAATAGACAACTTACTCTTGTATCACCTAACCAGCTGTTTTACAAGTCTTTCAATTCTGAATTTCCATGTTTTTAAGACTGAATACCTTTTATCCTTTTGTTTGTTTTAAATGAGATTTTAATTCATAGAAGGTGCATCACTTTTTTTGATATACCAGTAAATTCAAGGCATATTTATGTATTTTTCAGCACTTTTATCGAATTAACTAGCTGTTTTTGGGGGTTATTATCCATGAGAGGTAGTTCATTTGCATATTATTCTTATCTAAAACATGGAYGCTTGGAAATATTTTTTAATTATTAGAATGGCAGGTGCCTATTTTACATGTAATACTCTACAAATCCACACCTTATTAAAGTTTAATGGCTGATTCTTGAACAAATACATTGTAAAAGTCTTTCTTGATTGAAACCTTAATTGTTTAATACCACAGAGAACTTCAGTGTCACCAATAGAATTGTGTGTAAACATAGCTTTGTTCTTCTTTGTCACTTTACTCTGGGCTTTCGCAGCGACAGCACTTGTGTTTTCATAGAATTTTTATTACATATTAATAATCGAAAAAACCTTGAAAACCATAACTGTCTGATTAAAAAGCAGGTAGCAGATCATATGAAGGCTATAAATAAATAATTAGGAAAGTTTTGCATTTATTTTGAAGATTATTTAGAGCTGTACTGCACAGAAGCAAGCATTGAGGTTTTTTTCCAATGAAAAGGTATAGTAGTATATATTGTAATAATCAGTCAAAATGCTATGTGATGCATTCAACATGCAATAATTTATTGACTATRATTGCCTACTATATTGCTGATATGAACTGTCTATTGTAAGATTATTATTTCTCATTTCGTGTACATCATTTCTTTTTAACCAATATAAAAATATGCCTCTGCTTGTAGACATGCAGGAAGCGATACTGATATCGGAAGTTTGTAACAACTGTCTTGAAAAATAGAAATTGTTTTTATCAKATAATTGAAAATGATTTAATGCCCTAAATGATACCTTACGAACACATTTTTACTTACTTTGATGACCAGGGTATTATGTTCTAATGTTTAATTGTTGTTGTTTTTACAATTATGCATGAATCACAAAACCATCCATATATTCATTGTATTAAAGGTAGACTTGCATCTTCTAGAGAGACATTGTGGGTACATTTGTTTTGTTTCAAGAAAAGACCTGGTTTTGATTGTTGCTTTCTGACTGGTTCAAAATCCATCCTGCAAGCACACAAAATGATAAGCCTGCCCCAAAAAAGTCTGGAGGAAATATTTTAAACAACAAAGGATAGACATATTTTAAATTTGTCCATAAATTTTCGCAGATGAGGATTTTCGATAGAAAAGCATGCAAAAGAAATTCTTAGATGCATATGGGCTTTTTATATTGCTTATTTACATGTTTTAAATGTGAGGTAAATTTGTTTACTCTTAGAGCCACATCCAATTATCAAAATCGCCATTCATGAGACATTTGTTGGTCTTGGCAGCCATTCACGACATCATTAACATCTATATTTAATTCATTTKGCTATGGGTATCATTTAATTCAAAATATTAGTCATGTTGATTGAGCTAACCTGAAAGAATTAAGCAATTTAGAGTATTTCATGTCCACTTGTCTAATATACAGGCTAGTGTCATGTACTTACTGTCATCAATTATATTGGAAAAAAATATACAATATCCAAATTGAGATTTACACACTGTGGAAACAAAATTTACAAGTCTTTCTTTGAAAGTTTTCATAGGGCACATTTTATAAAATTCTAACCTCTCACTTTATGTTAATAGTGAAAAAAAGGAACTAATATTTGAGAATTTGCAACTGAAGTCTCGTGAAATGGAGTTTATGAAATAGTATTTCAATCATAAAAGTATTTTTGCAAAGCATAAATTGTACAAATTTGTTTTCCTTTGAGGCTTGATAGCAATAAACAATGTCAGCGGGTATGATAGTGTGACTTTTGCATGTACTCTGAAATTGCAATTTTTACCAGTACCCAGTTCTCTTGTCTTGCGTCAAGTCTTGCCATCTTGAAATTTAGGTAATCTTTTACTCTATGCAATGACAACAATATGACATTTTATTATTATTAAACCTATTATCATGTGATGAGTTTCATTAAGTTTATGAAAAAAATCTCCTGTTTGTACTTTTATTGAAAATTTGAAAGTGTCTTGTCTGACAGGTTTTATTAAATTATTGGATATTTAGGTTTGGCATTGTTTTTTTTCCAAAAACATACCAATTTGTCCAGCATTTTGTTTTTTAATTCATTTATTAGTATTGAGTTGTATTTGTATTCGCTTTTTTCAAATATTATGAATTAAACTYGTGTTTGATGCTTTCAAGTTGTTATGATATGCAAATCTTAGGATTTTTCCCCATGGGRGAGGGGGGTAGGGGTAAGGACATTCCCTTTACATCTCCTGGAAGGCCATAGTGTTTATCTTAGAAATCTATTTGAATTATTCATATAGCAATTAATTTTTTTAGAAATTTGAGAAAGCTTCTGTTAGTGTTGATGACTAACAATGTTCATTCATCAAAAGATATTGATGCTGTCATTCCCTTTGATTGACAACCCTCATTTTATAGTTCGGTCTTTTTAATAAATTGAGTGATTATTTTCAAAAAATCAAATACATATAATATTTCTTTCAAAGTAAATTTCCTCTAGTTTTCTAGAAATGACTAGTGAATGCTATATTCTACCATGGATATGTATGCAGTTCAAAGTTTTAATATCAATATTTTCATTATTAATGTTGTATAATTCAAGTAAGGTCTACTTTTGTTGATGTATATGTCATGCAGTCATTCATGAAGAGGATATGATAAGATCAAATAGGAAATTGTTTACAGGTTCAATTGAAATATTAAAAGTAGTTCTCATAAACTTTATGAAGATCACGTATTGTATTTACAATCATTACCAATTTAATTATCTGTATATAACATCTGTGCTTAACTTGCATATTGTAATAGGAAAAAAAAATTAGATCTTAACTACAAATAGGGTTTATTTATATTCAGCTGTAATAATATGAATTTTTGATTAGTGAATTCAATTATTGCAATACGTTGGAGATTTTTAAAGATGACCGTCAATTTTATGCTAAACTTTTGCTAAGGAGAATAACAAAAGCATAGATATGATTATTAATCACCTGCTAGAATGCTTTCTTTTCTTAATCAATTTATAAGGAAACTAATCTGTTCTTGTTGTTTTCTCCTTTTTATTCTTTATTGCCTTTCTTCCTGTTTTTATTCAGATAACAATAAACCAAACATAGGGCGAAATATCACCGGAAGTAGTACTCACCGTGAAATATTGTCTTTCATGTTTATTCTCAATTATTATTTTTTTTGTACACAACGATGGGACCAATAAAATGTGTTTCGTGGCGCAGCATGGACGTCARTAGAATTTTCTAAATAACAATCTTGGCTATTTAGAAGTAGTGGTTGCTTATCGTGCGCTCTGATTTGGATACTTGAACTTGTAATATCGTATGGCCACGCCCTCGACTAATGTTTTATAACAAAAAGGCTTTTCATTAATACTTTACTTACGTAACGCATGATAGTTGTAATGCTTGAACGAAATACGTCTAGAAACGCGACTTAGTTGAGTATTTTATTGAACGAATTCATGCGATTATAAGTTAACAGATGGACTCATATTGCTAGCAAGATTAAGCAAATTTATCGAGAAATTAAAAGCCAGACGAAAACAATGTCGCAAAAAATGAGGTAAAAAAACCGATCCTGCACGTCATACAAAAATTGACGGTTAATAAAGTTTGTTTATATGTTTGTAAAGTTGGTACGCAGATCGTAAAGGATGCTCAGTTGAAAACCACAACTGAAAAGATGAGAATTTTTACATTTTGTAATAATTTTCTTACAAATTCAAAGGCACTGAGGTGTGTTATCATGAGGAAATGTCTTTGCGGGAATTGCAAAATCGTGATTATATGCAAATAGATTATTGTTGATAGCATATCTTTTKCAAAAGGACAACCTTTTTTTCGAATTAGCTGTACTTGTGAACGTCGGTCGTGTTCGTATTTACTCTGCAGTGATTCGGAATGCTTTTTTATGTGTCATTGTAAGTAGTGTTAAACTCAGTTATCCATTCGTGAATGCCTTCCTCCCACAATACCATTAGTATGTTATGGTCCAGCTACGTTTTAACAGCATCAAGACGACTATTGAGTACATAAAACAGTTGAAATGTGACCAGGTGTTCACATCTAGCATGGTGTATGCTTTAGTAAGGGGTTTACTGAGCTTTTCAACTTCAAAGGAGGTTTGTTTAGTGATTGTGCGTGATTTGTASTGTCGTTTGTTGTAGTGATTTCCATCGATGTTTATGGTTCAAAATCTCCTAATCGAATCTTCCAAACGAAATCATTGCTTTTGTGTTGACGCTCACGTAATGAACGGTAAACAAAGATGAGTAACTCTTGTCATTTGACGATAGCAAACTAAACACACATGAGATCCTCTGACACTACTCAAGATGAACCCTTGACTTCAGTGAAAGAGATCTCGACCCAATAGGCCGAACATTTTAATTCACATCGAATGGAGCTGCTTAGATTTCATTCAAAATTCATATCCAGTTCCATTTCAAATGTAAACAAATTGGGATTGGTACTCGACGGCTATTGGTTGACCATCTCTTATCCTTAGTGCCTTTAAAGCGTCCGTTCCCCATTTCTCTGGAGTCGCCGCCTCACGTGTCGTTGCTGCTCTRGTCATGTACCACAAATCGTTGTAGGGTTTTGGACTGAGCAAAGGTATTGATATATCTTAGGCGTTTGGAAATCACTCACTATACTTAAGGTACTATCTACCTATTACTATAGCTTTTTGTACCATCCCTCGATGGATCGTACATGGCCCAGGTGATTAATCTCCCAGAGATTCCGTGGTTTCTGAACCCGTTATAAAGAAATAAGGCCAAAAATTTCATTTTTTTTTTACTTATTAGCTTTTTGAAAAGCTAAGTGATTGTTTTCGTATATATTATATTTGTATGAATGAGCAAGGTTTTTCGAACAAAGTCGATGATTCAATTCTTGCTCCGTGTCATAACATCATTTAACATGTATTTTTCATATACACCTGTAGTTTTTGTGTATTATATTTCAAGTCATTCAAAGTTTCTCATTTTCACACTACTTACAATCTTTTGTTTTAATTTTCTGAGATTAATGAATAAAGCTCGAAGCTTTGTTATTAGGTGATACGATCGCAGTTCCTGATACGACAGATCATTGAACAAGAGAAATCATTTCTATCTTCTCTCGACAAAAACGGTGCCATTAAAATGCTAATAAGTTTCTTTTTCGCTGTTTTATCGGAACTTTTTCGTATGTGCGAAAGGTTATTTTATATATATATATATTTTTTGTATGAATGTTTTTGACCGCGCGCGCTCTTGTCGACTAATTTGCATACTGTCAGAAAAATGGCAAATGCACCTGTGTGTTCCGTTTCATATCGTTGTTGTAGATTCTCAGCATGATTCTAAATTTAGAATACCACGCAAAGTTCCGTGGTCCTTCTCACAAATCCTTCATTTTTTTATATTTCATGCTCCTTAGCGATCTAAAAATCTTGCTTTTTGACTCTATTGTTAAGTGAGTCAAAGTCATCCTTTAATTTTGAAGTTGATACTGTTAAAACTGTGATTGTGGTACCATTTGCGGAGCGTAAATTCATTAGTGTGTGGTCAGAAAATTATCATTTTATCCGGCGACTGCGATCTAAGAGACATGTTTAAATGAATTGCCGCGCAATGTTTGCGCTTCTCGATTGAAGTGTTGCTTGATGTTTTGTATGCGCATATTTTGAGAACTTGAATCTGAAGGTCATTTTCATGTACATATGTAAGGCTATTACAATAATTTCGGTTCCTCTGGCCACAAGGTGTCTGAAAGCTTGACTAAGCTTGTACATTAAGAGATCAGATGAAGTGTTTTTTGGTGTCGAGATGCATGATACGGCGCGTTAAGCACGGAAAACCAATGATTTTCGGGACAGTAGTACAACTGTCAGTTGCATCAGGGTTGCCTAGTAACATAGGCCTCATCCAAGTACATATAGTTTCTAGGAAATCACGCTACCACGAATATACTTTGCCATGATAAACCGTCACGTGTTCTCTTTTAACATTTTGAACCATTCGCCAGACACAATCTGTGCACATTTCACGCGTTATCATCAACAAGACATCGTCATCCACGTTGGACGTGACACACCAAGGTGAGCGAGTTGTGTGACATTACGTACGTTACGTGTGTATCAGTCAAGACAATCAGCCCCAAGTCATCAAACATTAACAGGTGCCATCAAGGTGCCCTTTTTTGTTTGTGGACTAGGGACAAGTAGGGCCCAGTCCGTTGACATTTCTTTCCGACATTCGGAGTAACATTAAATACCATTAGTTGCCGTTGCATGCAGCCATTGTTCTACTGTCGTTGTTAGTGTACCAGTCAGTGTTATTGTTGTATGAACATCTATAACAGCAGCATTAATAAGCAATCCATTAGGTTTTTTACCATACAATGTATTACACAAAGCACTGTAATGTTGTACAATGTTTAAAGTATTAAAAGTGCATTGAAGTTGATGTTTGTGTATTATTTATGACTAACTCTCAACAGGTGTTTGTTGTCAATACTGCTTCAGACTTATAACTCTTGTCCAACCTTGTGGACCCGGTGATCTAACCGTCTATAACTACTAACGAATAACTGCATCGCGCCGCTGTCTAACGATACTGTGGTCTACGTGTAGAATATTAGACCAATATAGTACAACTCATACAATATATATTTATTATTGTGTAGATTCAATTACATCAACCTAGACAGAATAAACTTTATTTACCCAAGCTTTCTCCCTAAGTGGGCATCAGGGAGACGACGTTGCAATAAAAAAAAAAAAACAACAACATCAATCAAGGAAACAAAGCAAAACAAAAGAAACAAAATAACAGACAAAAAAAACGAGAACAATGTGCATGCGTCAGATACAATAGCTAGGATGCCCACTTAGGACGAAAGCCCGGAAATATGGAGTTTTAATTTGTCTAGGTTGATGTACTTGAATGAACGATAATGGGTCTAAATCCATCCTACAAACATCTTTTCCGATCTTTAATACATATTTACTTTGAAAGTATGATATGCAGATATTGCTGTGCCATTGTTAATCATTGTATATTAGTAACTGTTTTGTGGTCTGCCTTACTGTCTGACCAACCCAAACAACATTTATGTAAGTACATCGACGCAGCATGGAACTATTTTTAATTCATGTTGCATTAAGCTGATTTGCATGATACTATTGTGGCACATGAATTGATGTATTTTACAGTTTTCCACTCACGAACCATGTGTATATGTCAAGTATCGTGTAAAACGGTTACACTGTCGTCTTTTACTTCATGTTCTGCTATCAGCATTCACAATACTTAAAGGTCCATATTCAACCGGCATTCACTGCGGTCGTGTTTTAGATTTTTCATACGTGGTGACGCGTTTCAATCGGTCGGTTTCAATTACGATGTATAGAGCATAAGAGGATAATAAAGAGAAAGCTTTTGACTAAATTACGATGTATTTTTACATTGTATATTCATAAATAAGTCTCCAAATGAATGTCGGTTGATCATGGCCTTTTAATGCTGTCGTACAACACGAAACCATACTGCTGCTAACACACATTGTGGAATCTGGATTTTCATCGCAATATTTGCGCGCAGAGCGAAAACATCTTTTTTAGTGAAGTGGATAAGATTTTGTGTTTTTTTTTTATCTTCTGCTTGTCTCAATTCTGTGTCTGGACAAATATTCTATTTGTTTAGACTGCGTTTTTCCTCTGTAGGATCCTTTTGCCTTTTGAAGACAGTTGTAGCCGCGGCCTCATAATTCTGGGTTACCAGTGTGTTCCCTTAAGGGTAACCCAGGCCTCCCCTCCCTCCCCTCCCCCTCTCTCATTGAACTTGTCCACCACTATGTATTAAGAGAACTGCTATGTTAGATATTCCTTCTTATATAATTCTACCAACTGATTATAAATACGTTAGAACCACAAACTAATCCTAAAAAAGTAGGTAATTACTGTAATGTTTGTTGACGTGTTTTTTTATTATTTTCAGATAACTTGGAATGGGTAAACAAAATAGCAAACTTAAGCCAGAGGAGTTGGCCGACCTTAGAAATGCTACACAGTTTAACGAACAAGAACTACAGGAATGGTACAAAGGGTTTCTCAAAGATTGTCCATCGGGCCATTTGTCAGTAGAAGAATTTAAAAAAATCTACGGCAACTTTTTCCCCTATGGTGACGCGTCCAAATTTGCCGAGCACGTTTTCCGTACATTTGATGCTAACGCAGATGGGACGATTGATTTCCGAGAATTCATCTGCGCTCTGTCGGTAACTTCTCGTGGCAAGCTTGAGCAGAAGCTAAAGTGGGCTTTTAGTATGTACGATTTGGATGGCAATGGCTACATCTCAAGACAAGAAATGCTAGAGATTGTTACTGCTATCTACAAAATGGTAGGCTCCGTCATGAAAATGCCCGAAGACGAAAGTACACCAGAGAAACGCACCGACAAGATCTTCCGACAAATGGACAAGAATGTCGACGGAAAACTCTCGCTGGCCGAGTTCATCGAGGGAGCAAAGAGTGACCCATCTATTGTAAGACTGCTTCAGTGCGATCAGTCAGCAGGAGCAGCGCAATAGTGGACTATATAATTCTATTCTTACTGAAAAGCTAGTTTCTACTTTGCAGAATAAAGGTTGACTTTGTTTACTTAGAGACAATTTTGTGTCCAGATAGAATTACTTGTATATCCGGATCTGTTTGGATCCAAAAGACTAGCATTATCTTTTTCCGAACATAAGCTCCTGTGAGCGTAAAACATGGAAACTAAATGTCCTGTACCGAAATATTCAACAGTATACTAAACGTCTTTACAATCGTCTCTATAACAAATTATATCAACCAGTTGTATTCCATGGTTTTTAAAAGACTGTATTTTACGTGCGAAAACAGTTATCTAGATCTGGAGGTTGTTACTGGCCAAATGTTGCATGCAAGTTTTTTAAGTTTTTCTTGCTCTTTTTCCTGACGTTTAGAGCGATATTATTGTCAGTTAAAATAAAAGTTGGTTAACATATTGTTGAGAGTTAGTGTTTAATTAAAAATCCCCATTAGCAGTTTCTACAACTGTACTCTTATCGCTGAGCTAGTCTTTCGTTTTGCGCGCGCACGATTTCTAGATTCTTGCGAACATGGAAAAAGAGAATCCTGTAATTCCAGCAAACCGTACTCCCAGCACTAGAGTATGATGTACTGTTAATAAAATTAAACATGTCAAGGAACGTGGCACCGGCGCCAGTCTAAAACCAATTTCATCAAAAGTGATTTTTTTAAATATGTTTTTTTATATATCTTTTTAAATAACTCGTGTTTAAAGAAAAAAAGATCGTACAGTTTTCGCGCTATTTTGAAGCCATCGCCCTATCGATGGAAGTATAACAAATCTTGAAAATTTAAAAGCTTTTAAATGCATGATTTTTGTGTTTCATGAATAATACTATTCGGCTGATTATATCACGGCGACCTGGCAGTTTGGAAACCTTATAGACGTAAGCAACCTTAGTATATGATTTAGTGTTTCTAATTAGATTTGTTATATGACTGGACCATTGCGTGAGAAGTTAAAAGCAATAAGGCCACAAAATCCGATATATATAAACATGAGCTAAATGCCCTTCTAAATTGATAAAATAGTCAATTTACAGCGAAGCCATTGTGTACAACAAAACCTCATGATGGGAAATGTACTCGGACTGAAAGTTAAAATCTCCTTGAAGGATTTTGTATGTTTTCTTTGTAGAAACGACACAGCAGCTTCTATTTGTGCAAACAAAGGAAGAACGGTTTAGGAAACTATTCATAGTGGACATGAAATAATGGCGGGACAACCACTCCCGTCATTCTTTATTTTACAAAAAGCAGGCGTCGCTGCACGTTGCCTATTTCTAAGAAATGACCATCTATTGCATTTCTATTGACGGCAACTATATATCTAAAAGCCTGTTTGCGGAGAGTACCTCATTCATTTAATTATAAACCTTTTATGATTAAATGACTTCGCTTTCCCAACATTACCTTGCCATTCCTCCAACCACATCGCATGTCGCAAATTGAATTCAGCTTGTGGTCTGATTTAAAGTATATTAACTGTGAAACTGAATACTAAACGCAGACAATTTCAATTATCTGTAGCAGTTTGGTGTACCTTTTCCATATATTTGCACTCTTCTAATTAATGAATTGTTTATCTCGAAGGTTACTGGTATAGATGGGTAAACAGAACAGCAAGCTTAAGCCCGAGATGCTTCAAGATCTCCGAGCAAACACCGAATTTAATGAACAAGAACTACAAGAATGGTACAAAGGATTCCTAAAGGACTGCCCATCGGGACACTTGACTGTAGAAGAATTCAAAAAGATCTACGGGAACTTTTTTCCTTATGGCGACGCGTCAAAGTTTGCCGAGCACGTTTTTCGTACTTTCGACAAGAACGGCGATGGGACGATTGACTTCCGAGAGTTCATCTGTGCGCTCTCGGTGACCTCTCGTGGGAAACTCGAGCAGAAGCTGAAATGGGCGTTCAACATGTACGATTTGGATGGCAATGGATACATCTCAAGACAGGAAATGCTGGAGATAGTCAAAGCTATCTACAAAATGGTAGGCTCCGTCATGAAAATGCCCGAAGACGAAAGTACGCCAGAAAAACGCACCGACAAGATTTTCCGACAAATGGATAAAAATTTGGATGGAAAACTGTCAATGGATGAGTTTATCGAGGGCGCCAAGAGTGATCCGTCTATTGTCCGGCTATTGCAGTGCGACCCGTCAAGTGGTGCTGCATCCTAGGTTATATATCGTAATCCATTCTATATTATAATAGCGAAACGTCCCGCTGTTAAAGTCTAGTGTATTCTTTTAAAACAACTGCCTTACATCATCAGTTCTTAGGTGGTTCGATTCCTAAAACAACGTGACATGACTTAAATGTTGTACTTCACTTTGTTTTTTTGTTATTCAGAATTTGTACAGCTTGTCGATTTCAACGAACCACCCCCTATTATAAATGGCAAGCGCAATTGCCTTTCCTTTTAGAATATATAAGATTAATATAATTCAATATTCCTAGGTCTTTATGTGATTAGACGTACGATTTTATTATTCACTTCTTGTCATTTTGTCAAAACTCGTGGTGTTCCACTTCCTCGACGGTAGCTCGCTAGTCAGGTCTATTCGACCGCCCGCCCGCAAGACTGTGGTCTCGAAATAAGCACGTGACCATACCAAGATGGCGTCGTAGCACGCCGCGCTCTAGAGGTCCTTTCCATTTTGAGAAGCGTGCATAAGAGCGCATTGTCGACAAGCAGACCGTTAGCTGGCTGGCCAGAGTAAAATTGTTTGCCGACAAGAGATCTATAACCTTATAATACTATTAGTTACTGTAGTTATAATTTGACTTTTTTTCCTAATTAGTACGTATCAATTAGTCTCATTGGTGGCAGTGTGACCAGAAACTGTTGTATTAGGAATTGATGAATTAAAAATAATTATTAACAAATCAAGACTGACAAGACATCATGGAAATGGCGAAACCAGATTTTGCTATGATAGAAAAATTCTTTTTCGAAGTTATAATGTCATATCATGCATTTCCCATGTGTCTTTTGGGTCACATGTCACCTCAGTTTCTGTCGATTTGGCTGGACAACATGATTGAACATGCTGCGCCCAATGTAAACGAAATCCTTCCCATTTGATTATAGCAGATGGCTTCAAATGTATTTAACTAGGTGAAAAAAGCTGTGAAAGTTGTTGAATAAAAACAAATACAAAACTGTCGATTGATTGATTGATTGATTGATTGTTTCCTTTGATCTTACGGGGAATGTTGGCCCATGTGTTAGGGTCTGGGAAATTTGGGAAATCAATATATGCGCGCGTTCAGGAAAAAAACTGATAACAATTGCCGGTGTGATCATCAAAGAACACGATCATTTTAAGCGTGTCATCGATAACCCTAATTTTCAAACTACATTGTAGGTCGGTTGTACAAATGATGTTGGATTAATTTTAATATCAACGATAGGCTGCAAGGAATTTATAGCATTGTTTATCCTTCTAAATGCTTCTCGCTGCAAGTCCAGTCCTATGTAATTATTTAGATTACAAGTAACACACGGAAAGACTTTTACTCCACGACATGCGTACAAGATGTTATGAATGACGACCAAAAAGAAGAGGGATTGGGTGTAGTGACATAAATACTGCAGCCGCACATTTTTGGTTCTGCTTTGCGGGAGTTTGGGATCCCTGTGCATTTTTGAGTCAACAGTCAAGCCAACCAGCGGATTATCATTACCGCCATTTTGAAACAGTGTCATGATCATAGTTTGAGTCGAGCTAGTGAAAGTGGAGTTTGGATATATTGCTATCCAAATAAATTGTTTAAGACTTAAAGATAATTATGTTTTCAAGTGGAGCGACGAGTTTTGGTGGAACAAGCACTGGATTTAGCGGTTTTAGTAGTGTAAATTCGACTAATAACTTAGGTCTTGGAAATACAGACAACCCTATGAAAGATATCGAAGTCCAGTCACCTCCAGAAGACACAGTTAGTGCGGTTCGATTCAGTCCTAAAGCTGATTTCCTGATTGCTTCGTCTTGGGCAAATGATGTGAGTACCGTGTATTTTGACCATAAGTTGAAAATCTTGTTTTTAAACCATAATGTGTCGTCGGTGTTTGATCAGTCTTTTTGATTGTCCTTTACTAGTATTAAAATCTTAAGTATGTTTTTTGAGCTTTCGACTGTAGATATATTAAGACTTATTATTACTTTATTACAAAACGCTTGAACTGATTGTGTGATCACGCTTGCAACAAACGTCGGATGGCTCATGCTCCATATAAAATGTCATGAGTTGGGCATTTAAATTTTATCTTCGGCATTTTCGCATCATCGCATTGATTTTTATGATCATTTCATGATAAGATAACTTTGTTTTACTCCAATTTTTCCTTGCAGCTGTAGTCTAGCAGATACAAAGATGGCGTCAAAATGTGATGAGAACAACAACAAAAAGTACTAATCTTCTTATCACATTCTGACATCTTCTGTACAAATCAATTATAGTACAGATACACAGAAAAGTGGAGTCAATTTGTTTTGTATAATAATTTCCTCTTAATTTTCCCTAGTGGGTATAATAACAAAGGGTTCTCGAACAATCTGAGTGCATATAATATGTCAAATATTATTTAGTTACTTTGTGGTATTTCAGGTTCGATGCTGGGAAGTTCAAGAGAATGGGCAAACTATTCCAAAAGCACAGAAAACACATGCAGGGCCAATATTAGACTGTGCATGGCATGATGTAAGTTTGGTATTGATAGTTGTGATGAGAATGGTCCATATATTATAACCCCGCCATTTTGAATTGGTTTGCAATGTGTCATGGGATATAAATCTCCCTTTCTTCATCAAAACCAGGCGCTAAAATCGTAAAGGCACTAATTAGTTTTGATTTTTCCACAAACAAAATATGTTTGTTTTCATTTTTGCTTGATTTGCCTAGTAAATGGAAATTCTCGATTAACTGCATATTTCTGGAGGTTTTTTTTTTTTGCAGTATTTCATACTGCTTGTTGATATTATTTTGTGTTTTTTTTTGCAGTACATGCATGCTTCTGAGATTAACTTAACAATGTCAATATTTTTCAAAAACTGAGCATGCATCACAGACAACTGGAGCACTGACATCGTTGCTCCCTTGTTTACTCATTTATCAATCCCAAAATGCATTGCATCACAAGGCTTTTCGTGGGTCGTAATAAGGACTATGTCAGTCATTAAAACTCTTAGGCTGATTGCAGTTGAATATTAGATAATGGTCGAGTAAAACTACGTTATTTTGGTTTCTCTTTGTTAGGATGGGAGTAAAGTGTTTACAGCTTCTGTAGATAAGCAATGTAAAGTATGGGACTTGAATGCGAACCAAGACATGCAAGTTGCACAGGTGAACAGATGTCTTTGTTGTTCTTCAACATTTGACATGCATAGTGATAGCTGCGCTAAAAATTAACATTTTAATTGTTTCTATGCTCTGTCACGGTGCTCTGTTTTCAGACAACACACATGTAGGAGTGGCGAAAGCAGTTATTTTTATTGGAAATGATAATTTACATAAGTGCAAAGGCAATAATATTATTTAGGTTTTAAAATTTGGGTTACGATGCACTGCCTCTACTATAGTTTATGTGAAAAATATTYACTGATCAACCATTACACAAGCTGAATATATAACCTATCAAGGTGTTTGAACACTCCCTAGGGAGCTTTTTACTTAATAAAAAGATAATCTTTATTAGTCATTTAGTTTATACATTATTTGTGACCTTTTTAAGTTAAATTATTTATTGATTTCTTAATAGCATGATGGCCCAGTTAAGACATGTCATTGGGTGCAAGCTCCAAACTACAGTTGTCTAATGACTGGCAGCTGGGACAAAACTCTGAAATTTTGGGATCTGAGGCAATCAAATCCTATCCTGACTCTACAGTTACCTGAGAGGTGTTATTGTGCTGATGTAGTCTATCCCATGGCAATTGTCGGCACTGCACAACGGGGAATTATTTGTTATCAACTGGAAAACCAGCCTTCAGAATATAAGGTACCAATATATCACATTAACCATGTTATAATCTTTATTTATATGTACAAAGTAGAGTCTTTTGAAATGTAGCTATAGTGATTATTTGTTACCAATTCTTGTTTCTTTATGACTTTTAAATTTAAGTTTCCACAATAGAAATACAAAGTGTCTGTCGTAAAGGGCATTGTTTGARTCACAGTTATTTCATACTTTGATTGAGCACATCCAATACCCAGGTCCTTCTCAGTTTCCCAGCTGAAAATTGACTCTGGTTGAAGACAAGTTAGTCTTTGACTTGATTGGTTCAAAAATTCCCATTTGCTGTCAGTATAACTTCCAGTCAGGGCCTTTGATTTTCCYTTTAGAAACTGAAAAGTATCTGGGTACAAGAATGKGATTGATCAGTGCTTTACTTAAGTGTTTGTGATAGTAGGGTGTCCATAATATTGGGATTGTACTTGCTGTACTTATCCAGTCTCAGTGTTTTCCCAGCTGTATGAAACAGTTTGTTTATCATGTCTTTTGTTTTTACTTTCAGAGAATAGAGTCACCACTAAAATATCAGGTACGTATGCATCTACTAGCCTGCATAGCATCTCTTGGGGGACAGGGGAGAGAAAAAAAGGGCTCAGGGGAGGGGGAAAGGGCTATGCATCTACCTCAAAACTCAACTCACTTGCATGATGATGCATTGTTATTTGATAAAATTCAATACAGTTATTGATTCCTTTGTTATGATACAGAATCGCTGTGTAAGYATCTTTAAAGACAGCAAAAAGAATGGCCAGCCAGTTGGATTTGCACTGGGCTCAGTGGAAGGAAGGGTTGCTATTCATTTTATTCAACCACAAAACCCGTAAGACGTCATTCAATTGCAATATGTCARTCCATGTTCAAATGTTGTTGTTGTTTGTCAATTGTTGATCTATTAATATACTGCTTGTCTAAAATCATTTACAGGAAAGATAACTTCACCTTCAAGTGTCACAGATCCAATGGGACAACTGCCAACATCCAAGATATTTATGCAGTAAGTTATCACTATAACAGACATATTTAAGAATGATGCAGTATTCATTGCTTGCACTTTGATGTTTCTTAGGTAAATAACATTGCATTCCACCCTGTTCATTTTTGTCTGCTGTCAACTGTTGGTTCAGATGGAAAATTCAGTTTCTGGGACAAAGATGCACGTACCAAATTAAAGGTATGCAATTACAAATGATTTATCAKTTTGTGAAGCTGAAACCTCTGTTGGTACTTTGTTAAGGATAGATTAGGACTAAAAACAAAGMAAAAAAGAAGGGTACAAGTAATAATTTCTACATGGGGGTCATTCATTCATTATTGGCATGGGTAGATTTGGAAACTAGTGACCTGGGATGGGACAAGGGCTATACAATACTACATTGTATTGTTTCGTGTCGTGTCGTGTCGTGTCGTGTCGTGTCATGTCGTGTCGTGTTGTGTCGTGTCGTGTCGTGTCGTGTCGTGTCGTGTCGTGTCGTGTCGTGTCGTGTCGTGTTGTGTTGTGTCGTGTTGTGCTTGCCTCCTCATTCCATGGAAGTACTGCTGCCAACCTTAAAGTCCTGTTTAGGAGTACCCCACTCTTCAGTACTCACCCACTCCTCCCCTTGTGTGTTGTAAATAATAGCACTGCTTGACTTTGTTGATTGACAGACGTCAGAACAACTCAACCTTCCCATCACAAGTTGCTGTTTCAACTCCAAGGGAAACATATTTGCTTATGCGTCAGGATATGATTGGTCAAAGGTATTAACGTGTAGTTTAAAGTTCATTTTTTATTCTTGTTTTTAATGATATATTTGTGTGAATAAGATAACGTTTTGAAAAATTCAGCAAACACAAACTACTGCACAGGATGACCAACTATTGTTTTAGAAAAAAAGAACGCCCATACTTTTATTTATCGGTGCGAGGTTTTAGTGAAATTCGGATTACCTGTGTTATTACGCTACGATCCCGTGCCTCGCGGGATACAAAACTAGCCTATGASACAGACTAGTTTGCATCCCGCGAGGCGCAGGAAAGTGACATGTGCCGATGTTAATCCACCAATACAAAGGGTGCGCGCAGATAATAATTTCGCGCAATAGTTGGGCAGCCTATGTCTATTGTTTACAAAATGTGTACATCTACTGTGACTGATTGAGTGTGCAAAGTAGGTTAGAGTTTCTTGTTTAATTGTAAAGCTTTCTATATAGGGACACGAATACTAYAATCCACAAGTCAAGCCTAAAATTCTCCTCAGAAGCTGCGCAGATGAACTCAAACCAAGGAAAGGGAAATAAATTCGTGCACATGTAYATAACRCAGGTCATTCATTGGTCATTCCTACTCTTCAACRCAAGAATGTAAAGTCAAGCATTTATTGGTTAGCAGAACATGTACAGTATAGAGACTAAMAAATTAAGAACACAGAGGGACATAGAGTACTCTGAATTGACGCCTRTGGTGCATGCACTGTACTACACAATACATTTGTTAATATACATTAATGGAGCATATATTTTGTATGAAAACGTTTGGCCCACATGTAAACGAAATGTGGTACAGATTTCAAGTCTGAAATAAATTTAAAAATAAATTTGTTTCTTAAGGTTTTCTATTTTTCATTTTTTATTTAATATGAGAAATATCCCACCTTYTTCTACGTCTAGAGCAACTTCTAGAATGACGCTTGCTGTTTCTTAAGGACGCCGAAATGCACCGTGGGATTGTTGAAAGTGCAAATTGAGCATTAATGTTATGTTTCGGTTTTGTTTCAGGCTTTTTTACGAATAACAAGCATTTTTTATTTCCTAGATAGGTGTTTCAGTATGCTCTAGTGTTCAGACGTTWTATTTCATATTCTTCTAAAGCATTCTAAAAGAATAACGCGAAGAAACTTCATCCTCCTCGGTTGTCAATATATTTCCGCTATCTTGATATTGTTATCAATGTCATGCTAAAACGATCATGACGTACGTTAACAGAGCAAACCATTTAACCGCCGTAATTCCACCTCAGTTATTCAAGATCCCTTGCCGGGGCGGGCCCTTTGACTAGTACCACGCACGATGTAAATGTCTGCAGTTTCACTGCCATTATCATGGATTCAGTTACATCCAATAAGAGAAAGATATCGTCAAAATATTGCATTTAATGATATTTTATACAATAAATATATGTCGAGACCAGTATAGATGTTGTATATTATTAATATTTTCTACGCGATACGATAAAAAGAGAAATTAATTAATAGTTTAAAAGCACTGTGAGAAATACGACAGCTGAAATTTTAAATCATGTTTTGATTCTTTTTGCCACTTTGAATGCATCGGATCCGCCTTACGACGCATCGTATCATCGTCCCTGGAGGAAGAGGAAGAAATCGATCGCTGGGCGAACGCCCCTCTGGGTCCATGTTTGGATGGGGTAAGTCAAACATGACATATCGTGTTACTTTAAATTACAWAGAACTCGTGGTTCGTTTAATCCGGGCTCAACTCGTAATAATCGCGGTTGCAATAGGTAACACGGTCCGAACTATTTTCTGTAAATGCAAGGTTGAGGGTTAAAAGAACATGATGTATAGTTTATCATTTCGCATCATACGCGATTTGGCAGACCAGATGCAAGCATGGCATGGGACGACCTTAATCTACGTAAGAAAMATTCCAGAGATTCTAGTGATGAAATATCAAGTGCAATCACCGCGTTTCAATTTCTATTATCTGCATCGAATTTTACAAAAAAAACATGTAAATAAGAGGATTTGTCTTATGAATAGATAACACAATTATCTAAAGTCAGTATTGACAGAAAATCCGTCACGTTAGTAGTGATTAGTATAATGTTTACGGGACTTCACCAACTTTGGCCATTGGACCCAGTTTTATTTCCTGCAAGGCTCGGAAAGAATTCGTGTCCTGAACAACAAAGGAGTAAGAAAAAACCTGCGCTATTTTAAAGAAGAAAAMGTATTTCAAATTAAAGCTGCGGAAAAAATATTCTCAGTGTCCATCAATTCGCGAAAAATAAATAAATACATCATAAATAAATTGTAGGACAGACCAAATAATCTGCAGACCCGCTCCCTCCCCTCCCTCCTCCCCTCCTACTTGCTTGCTCAGAGTTTGATGGTACATAAATCACAGTATGCTACACGAATCAAACTTTCGATTTTAAATGTTTTTATTGTATGCAATTTCAAGTCGAAGACAAAGTCAAATCAGTGGAAATATCTTGCTTATACAAATCGGGGTCCAAAACCTCGTTGATCCGTTTCATTTAAAACTTTTATGTAAAGCTTTTATCATTTTAGCCAGGAACTGAATTCAAAACATCGTCGTGTTCTATTTTTATACACTTACTAAGGTATTTTTCAGAATTGTTTACTCATTATACATGAATTTCCAATTTTTTGAGACGTCCATTTTCCTTTCATATTTCTTATATCACTTTCGCRAGTTTCTRTTCATATTTTTTATTTTTMCATTTCAGTTTGTGTTGCCMYAGCTGAGCTCTTAACATTAATTTTGAAGAGAAAACTTGATATTTCAAATCATGTCAAAACGCGGTCTACATTCCATATTTGTATGCTAAAATAAGCATTAGTCATCGATTCCAATCAAAATTTAAGTGGGTCGCACCGGAAAACTTTTGTGTTTTATATCACATAAGCTCATATCAGAGAGGTCAAAAATGTACTGACATGACAGAAAATATTTTTTCAATAAGAAAATGATACGAGTCAACTTCAATTGTACTGACCGCATAGTTTCGAATAGAAAATAAATAAAGAAAAATCTAATGTTTGTTGTCATTTGTTAATTAATTTTTAGTGTAGCGATGGGGGTACTGTGGTGGCGGCCATCTTGAAATCAGGGGCATGATTGGTCACGTGATTTGCGAGCACCTCCTATCCGACTCTCAGCCATGTTTGTAAGTAATGTCAACAGTATTCCGAGTTGAACAGTTCATTACAGAAACAGCATTTCAAACTATTTTCTACAGCTCCTGATGTCTTCACTTCAGGACGTTTGGCAAGCGGGAGAGTGAATTTGGACGTTGGCAAAGTGCTTTTGTGCACGAATTGACTTGCAAGTTGTGGCTTTGGAGAAGCCAACATGGAGAAGCGAAAAGAGTTGCTGGAGAGAAAAGTCCGAGACCCAAGGAGTGAGCTATTTGTTGACGGGCTTTTGGTAAGTCTGTAGTTTACTGGTTCTTTTTTTACTCTACGGCGAAAGATTCTTGACCAACTGTTGCTTTTTCAGGATGGTATAGAGGCGCTTGTGAACGATTGTAACTACCCACAGATTCGTCGGAACAAGAATGTTGAGAACTTCGTACAACGGTGTAAGCGCTG